AAGAAACTCAGACAAAAAATAAAACAAGAAAAATAAAGTTAAAAAAATATGCTTCAAACTGCATTCAGAGTTTATCGGTTTTCTCTCTCTCTGGAGAAGGACAGCATTTTTCATTATGGTTTCTTTGGAACTGTCTTGGGGCAGTCCAGTCTTTCACAGTCGATCATCCTTACAATATTGCTGTTACTATGTGCAACATTCTCCTGATTGTGCTAATTTTGGGTGTAGTTCCAAATTGCTCTCCAAAATGGTTACACTGGGGGGTAGCTAGGTGGTGCAGTGGATAGAGCACCGGCCCTGAAGTCAGGAGGACCTGAGTTCAAATCTGGCCTCAGACTAAACACTTGACACTTACTAGCTGTATGACCCTGGGCAAGTCACTTAACCCCAATTGCCTAAAAAAAAAATGGTTACACTGGTTTATGACTCGATTAATGGTGCATTAGTGACTGTTGGTGGAGTTGTGAATTGATCCAACCATTCTGGATCCAACCATTCATACCCAAAGGGCAGTCAAACTCTGTGTAACCTCTGATCCACCAATACCACTACTAGCTCTGTATCCCACAGAGATTAAAAAAAGGGGAAGGAAAAGAAATGCAGGGGAAGGTGGCCTAGCCATTCTAGATCTTAAATTGTATTATAAAGCAGCAATCACCAAAATTGCTTGGAACTGGCTAAGAAATAGAGTGGTGGATCAGTGGAATAGGTTAAGTATGCAGGATGCAGTAGTCAATGACTATAATAATCTATTATTTGATAAACCCAAAGACCTCAGCTTCTGGGAGAACTTACTCTTTGACAAAAACTGCTGGGAAAACTGGAAAAGAGTATGGCAGAAACTAGGCATAGACCCAAATCTCACACCATATACCAAAATAAAGTCAAAATGGGTTCATGGTTTAGATATCAAGGCTGATACTGTAAGCAAACTGGGAGAGCAAGGAATAGTTTAGCTATCAGATTTGTGGAGAACAGAAGAATTCATGACCAAACAGGAGATAGAGAACATTATGAAAAGCAAAATGGATAACTTTGATTACATTAAATTGAAAAATTTTTGCACAAACAAAGCCAATGCAACCAAGTTTAGAAGGAAAGTAGAAAATTGGGAAAAATTTTTATAACCAGACTCTGATAAGGGCCTTATTTCTAAAGTATATAGAGAATTAAGACAGATTTATAAGAATACAAGTCATTCCCCAATTGATAAATGGTCAAAGGATATGAACAGGCAGTACTCAGATGAAGAAATTAAAGCCATCTATAGTCATATGAAAAAAATGCTCTAAATCACTATTAATTAGAGAAATGCAAATCAAAACAACTCTGAGGTACCACATCACACCTATCAGATTGGCCAACATGACAAAACAGGAAAATGATAAATTTTGGAGAAGATGTAGGAAAGTTGGAACACTAATGCATTGCTGGTGGAACTGTGAAATGATCCAACCATTTTGTAGAGCAATTTGGAACTATGCCCAAAGGACTATAAAAATGTGCATACCCTTTGCCCCAGCAATAGCACTTCTAGGGCTATATCACAGAGAGATCATATAATGGGAAAAGGAGCCACATGTGCAAAAATATTCATAGCAGCTCTTTTTGTGGTGGCAAAGAATTGGAAATTGAGAGGATGCCCATCAATTGGGGAATGCCTGAACAAGTTGTGGTATATGAATGTAGTGGAATACTATTGTGCTATAAGAAATGATGAACAGGCTGACTTCAGAAAAACCTGGAAAGACTGGTATGGTCTGATGCTGAGTGAAGTGAGCAGAATCAGGAGAATGCTGTATGCAATAACAGCTACTTTGTGCGAAGACTAATATTGATAGACTTAACCCTTCTCAGTAATACAAGGATCTAAGTCATCTCCAAAGGCCTTGTGATGGAAAATGCTATCCACAAAGAAGAAAGAACTATGGAGTTTGCATGCAGATCAAAGCATACTATTTACTATTTTTTTTCTTCCGTTGTGTTTTGTTTCCTCTTTCTGGTGGCTCCTCCTATTGATTCTAATTCTTACTTACAACATCACTAATGTGAAAATATGTTTAATAGGAATGTGTATATATAGCCTGTATCAGATTGTGTGCTGTCTAAGGGGGGGGGGAATTTAAAACTCAAATTTTATGGAAGTGATTGTTGATAATTCAAAATAAATTAATTAAAAAAGGGGGGGGAGGGAGGAAGGACCTACTTGTACTAAGCTCTTTTTGTGGTGGCAAAGAATTAGAAATTGAGGGGTTGCCCATCAATTGGGAATGGCTGAACAAGTTCTGATATATGATGATAGAATAAATACTATTGTGCTGTAAGAAATGGACGAGCAGGACAATTTCAGAAAAGCCTGGAAAGACTGACATGAACTGATGCAGAGTGAAGTGAGCAGAACCAGGAGAACATTGTACACAGTAACAGCAACATTGTAAGGATAATCAACTGTGAATGACTTAGCTCTTCTCAGCAATACAATGATCCAAAACAATTCCAAAGGACTCATGAAGAAAAATGCTATCCACATCCAGAGAAAGAACTGATGGAGTCTGAATGCAGATCAAAGCATACTATTTTTGCTTTTATTTTTTTGTGTGTTTTTTATTCTTTTGGTCGGTTTTTTCCTTCATGTGACTATTGATAGCACCCATCTGTTCTTTTGCTTCATTTTTTTTTTCCAGTTGGGAGGGTGTGGGGTGGGAAGCTGGAAGCTGGAAAGGGGGAGGAGGAGGAGGGAGGAGGAAGAGGAGAAGAAGAAGAAGAAGAGAAGAAGAAGAAGAAGAAAAGAAGAAGAAGAAGAAGAAGAAGAAGAGGAGGAGGAGGAGGAGGAGGAGGAGGAGGAGGGGGAGGAGGGAGAGAGAGAGAGAATAGTCACGTACAATAAAATTAACAGATTTTTTCTGGAATATGGATTTCTTTTACAATTCTTTACATAAGGTCAAATTTGTGTGATGTGAATTTACATAAAGTGAGAACTGCCTATATAATGTCTTGGCCTACCCATAAGCAATTAACATTTCTCCAGTTGTTTAGATGTGCAAAAAGTGTTTTGTAATTGTGTTCAAATAATCCCTAGGTTTGCCTTGGCAGGGAGACTACCAAGTATTTTATATTATCTGCAGTTATTTTAAATGGAATTTCTTTTTCTATCTCTTGCTGCTGGGTTTTGTTGATAGTATATAGAAATGCTATTGATTTATGTGGGTTTATTTTATATCCTGTAACTTTGCTGAAGTTGTTAATTGTTTCAACTAGTTTTTTTAGTTGATTCTCTAGGGTTCTCTATATCATCATCTGCATAGACTGATAGTTTTGTTTCTTCATTGTCTATTCTAATTCCTTCAATTTCTTTTTCTTGTTTTATTGCCATAGCTAGCATTTCTAGTACAATAGTGAATAACAGTGGTGATAATGAACATGCTTGCTTCACCCCTGATCTTACTGGGAAGGCTTCAAGTTTATCCCCTTTATAGATAATGCTTTGTTATTGGTTTTAGATAGATACTATTTATCATTTTAAGAACATCATCTAGGGATTCTTAACTGGGGGTTTTCCCTCTTCAACTCATGGAATTCTCCCCTCTTTGCTCTTAGGACTTCCCCTGGATCTTGGCAGATGAGCAAGATGTGCACATGCATGATCCCCGGCTAATCCCACTGAAGACCATGACCTCAGACATTTTAAAGGTGAAGCTGGGTGAGAAGGACTTCATGGGACCTAGGCATCCCAGTGACTGCTGGGAGATAGATTTCACAATGCTTAGAAAAGGCTTATGAGGGGCCTAGGGGCTGTGACCAGCATAGCCCCAGGAGACCTCCTAAGCTGCCTTTGGTTGAAGGCTTAGGAAGAACCATCCTGTTATTTTAAACTCTCCAGGAAGGAATTGGTCTCTCCCGTGCCTTACGGCTATAACCCTGCTAGCCATACCCAGGGCAGAGCCCTGACTCCTAGCAGGGCAGCCTGACCCGTCTCATCTTGATTGGCCAAGGACACGGTGGGCAAGCTCCCTCTCCCCTAGAGGGCCTGGGCAGAGAGTGGGCAGGCTGCAGGCAGCCCTTGGCTATTTCCTCATGACCTCTGACCGGTCATCCACTCCTTTTGAGTGAGAAGGTTTATCTCGGGGTCAGAAAGAGTCCCCACGTGGATCTTTTTGCAGGATCCTAGAGGCCAGCTGTCTAATCTCTACCCCCCCCCCCCAAACATCCCTTCTATGACATCTTTGGCAAGTGACTTGCTTGAAGCTCATGACCTCCTAAGGCAACCTGTGCCACTTTTGGATGGCCCCCATTGGGGAATAGGGGTTAGGGTGTTTTTCCTGCCACCAAGGCCAAATGTGCTTCTCTGTTACTTCTAACCACTGCTCTCTGGTACCAAATAGAACAAGTCTGATCCCTCCTTTGAGCCTCAGTGTTCCCATCTGTGAAATGGGGGCGGTGGTGGTAATAATAATCTCTGTAAGCTTAAAAGTGCTACAGAAACGTGACCTTTAACCATCGTCGCCACCGGCATGGTTTCCTTCTAACAGATGCAACTGTACGTGGAGGAGAGGGCTCACAAGAGCAGCTGAAGCAGGACCGGACTTTGGTAGCCATCATGGGCCCCTCTTGGCCTGGAACTGCCTCGCTGGCTTCAAGTGCTCTTCCCATCGTCTGACAGACCAGGCGAGTCCAGCATCACCCTCGAGACCGGCTCCCTCGGCCAGCTCTGGTCACAGGCCGACCAGCCTTTGATCACTAGGAAGGAATCCCAGGAAGAGGGGGGAGAGAACCTAGGACCCTGTTCTCTGTTGTCCTTGGGTCCCTCTGAACACAAGTGGCCACTGTAAATTGGACTGTGGTTTTTGTTTCAATAAAAGACCTGAGCGCAGCGTCCTGTGGATTGTTGCTCAAAGATAGGGAAGCCCCGAGTGATCTGGGATTGAGGATGCTTCTGGAAGAGTCTGGACCATTCACCCCTTGACCTCATGCTCTCCTCCTTCCTCAAACCAACTCCAGGCTGTCTATATGGAAAGTGTTTATTGAAAACTCAAAGCTGTGAAAAGTAGGAAGACGCTGTCACCATTCCTTCCATCTGGGTCCAGATCTAGTTGCCGCATCTGGCTGTGTCTTCTGTAGGACTGGGTTTCTTGGTAACCTCAGGGCCAATAGTGATGCTGCTGTTGGTGACTCGGGAGCCATACCACCCAGCCCAGAACTGAGTGTCATTGCCACCATGCTGGAAGCGGATGTGACGAACTCCTGGGGGGTAGTTGGAGAATGTGTGGGAGACCTGGGGGAGGACAGAGTTAGTCACTTGGTGGGGGTAGCTCTATAGTTCTTAACCTTGGGTTGGCAGGATTGGAGGGAGAGGGAAAGTAGGGGATGGAGATAGTGTGGGGTAGAAAGGTCTGGGCTGTAAGGCAGGGGTTCTTAACCTTTTTTGTGCCCTAGACCCCTCTTGTGAAGCCTATGGACCCCCTTCTCAGTCATGTTTTTAAATGCATAAAATAAAACACACAGGATTACAAAATAAAATTACTTTGAAATATAGTTATCGAAACATATATATAATTTATAAAATGTATATATTATATTTATAAAATATAGAAATATTTGTTTTATAAGTATAAGTAGGTATTTCTATTTATAAATATATATATTTAAAGTTTGTGTGCTCCAGACTAAGAGCCCCATCTGTGCAGTATTCTCTGACCAAGCTCCCTCAGAGAAGAGGTGGAGTGGGGACAGAGAATTGACATGGGATAGCTGCCTCGCGCTCCCCTGTGGTCCTGTCCCCCAGGACCGCACTGACCTCTCTCCACTCGCAATCACTCCATTGTTTGATCTCCACCGGTGGGGGCTCAAATGAATCCAGGACAAGGTAGTCTGCTGACAGTAACTGCACACAGATCTGGTAGCGGCAGCCGCAATCATATCTGGCAGCAAACCTGAGGGGAGGCGGAAGGGACGTCACTAGTCCGTCAAGCCCATCCCGCACCTGGACTGAAAGGCCTCTTTATAATATCCCCAACAACTGGTCGTGTGGCTTTCTATCTAGGACATTTAATGAGATGGCAGTGACTAAAGAGATACAGAGCAAAGAGCACTGGCCTTGGACTAGTGGACCTGGGTTCTAATTCTGGCTCTTGACATTTATAGCCTGTGTGACTATGAGGATCAGTCATTTCACTTCTCTACAGGCCTCTGTTTCCTCATCTGTAAGATAATGGTTGGACGAGAATCTAGACCCCATGTGGGGTCGAGACCCAGTTTAAAAAGTGCTAAAGGGGGAGGCAGCTAGGTGGGGCAGTGGATGGAGCCCCAGCCCTGGAGTCAGGAGGACCTGAGTTCAAATCCAGCCTCAGACCAAACACTAGCTGTGTGACCCTGGGCAAGTCACTTAACCCCAACTACCTTAAAAAAAAAGTGCTAAAGGGGTCATGTAGAAAAAGTTTAAGGAGCCCTGGACCTCAGAAGTTCTTTCCAGCTGTAAATCTATGCTTCTCTGAACTGATGTACCCCTGTGTTATTACCTAGCTATTAGGAAGTGTTTCTTTATGTTAAACCTTGCTAGCACAGCCTAGCGAGAAGTCCTGCTTGGTTTTCCACTCAAGTGCTTTTTAGGATAATTGATTTAGAGGGGGAAGTGACCATGTAGCTCGTATAGTCTAACATCCTCATTTAATAAATGTGGAAACTGAGGGTCTTAGAGAGTGACTTGTCCAAGGTCACACAGCTAGTGTCTGAGGTGGATTTGCACAAAGGTCTTCCTGACTCTAGGTAAAGTTGGATTGGATTGAGTGCGTGTCATGGACTTTCCCCTGGGATTACAAATTAATCAGCAAGCATTATTAAGCATCTGCTACGTGACAGGTATGTATGAGGTGATAAAGGTACAAAGACAATCCTTGTCCTCAGAAACTTATATTCTAACAAAGGAAATGATGTGTTTGCATACGTATATACAAATACATATAATTTCATCGGGGAGGCAATGGCAGCTGGGAAGGTCAAGAATGGCCTCGTGGAGAAGGTGGTGCCTGAGGTGAGCTTCAAAGGAAGAAGCTAGAGGCAAAAAGTGAGGGAAGGGAAGGTCCCACGTCTGCAGGGTCCTATCCACTACCAGGGATGGGGAACCTTTGGCCTTGAGGCCATGTGTGGCCCTGGAGGTCCTCAAGTGCGGCCCTTTGACTGAATCCAAACTTCACAGAACAAATCCCCTTAATAAAAGGATTTGTTCTGTAAGACTTGGACTCAGTCAGAAGGCCGCACCCAAGGACCTAGAAGGCCACAGGTGGCCTCGAGGCTGCAGGTCCCCCACCCCTTCGTACAAGGACAGAGAGTGGGAGATGGTGTGTTGTGTGTAGAGCAGCAAGATGGCTCAGTCTGGACCACAGAGCTCGTGGATGGGGAGTAATGCATGATAAATCTGGAAAGGTGGTTTGGAGCCAAGTTGTAAGAGGCTTCACCAACGATCCTAGAGGTAACAGAAGTACCTGGGACCAAGATCAATTTGGCAGCTACAGGGATGGCAAATTGGAGAGGAAGAAGAGATTGGCAGCAAGACCGAGTAGGAGGCTATGGCCAACCTTGGGGGGATGTGGCTGGCTGTGATGTGAGTCAAGGGAGAGGACGGGTCCAAAAGACTTTGGGGAGGAAGAGTCTACCAGACTCGGCAACCATTTGGATATGTGGGGGTGGGGATGACAGTGAGGCCACAAGGATGAGGATGGTGGTGCCCTCCATAGGAAGACAGGGAGAATTGAGAACGATGATGAGTGACGTGTGGCACGGCTAAGTGGCCGGCCCAGGCCTCAGGTCATACTGCCCTCCCTTGCTTTGTTCATAAGGTCATGGTGCAGATGAAGCAGCACCTGGATGGGAGAGTGTCCCACTCCATCCTGCTGGTCCCCAGGCCCTCTCACCAGTCCTTGATCACGATGTCCGGCCTCACGGTGTCCATCAGCTCTTTCCAGTACCCCGCAGCTTTCAGGTCCACCATCTGAGACTTGAGGCAGGTGCTAGGGAGGCGTGAGAAGACATGGTTGGGCCCAGGTCAGCTTAGTAGAGAGCTGGACTTCTTCCTCATCACCCCGGCGTGCTCAGATACAAGATGTGGAGATGGGAGCTTCTCCTACACCCTCCCACCACGCCAGCCAGGGACACCAGGCCCACAGCAGCTGTCACGCCATCTTGTGACCCCTCCCTCAGCCCCTGGGGTTCTGTCTTTAACAGCAGGATGCATGAGTGATGTAGGGGACTTCAGGTTCACCTCCATTAAGTCTGGACATTAAGGACTTACCTTGAATATCAATAATTTAGGGCCGCTACGAGGCGCCATAGTGCACAGAGTGCTGGACCTGGAGTCAGAAGACTCATCTTCCTGAGCTCAAGTCCAGCCTCAGACACTTACTCGCTGTGTGACCTTGGGCAAGTCACTTCACCTGTTTGCCTCAGTTTCCTCATCTGTAAAATGAGCTGGAGAAGGGAATGGCAAACCGCTCCAGTATCTTTGCCAAAGACACCAAAACCCCAAACAAACCCAAATGGGGTCAGGAAGGGTCAGACGTGACTGAAAACGACTGAACAACAATCAGTAATTTGGTACAGGGTGACTCATTTTTGAGCCCTCAACAATCACCTTTCTTCAGAAGGAGGAAAGACAAGCAGAGGGCTTGGGTTTGAGTCTCTGCCCCCCTGCTTATGACCCAGTGGCCTTGGACAAGTCACTGCCTCTCAGCCTGTTCGTCTGCAAGATGAGGACATGGGACTGGATGGTCTCACTGGTTCCCTCTGGCTCCTGATCCTGGGTCCCACGAGCTCTGTGAGGGCAGGGATTGGCTTTTACCTTTCTTTGCATTCCCATTAGCACAGAGCGTGGTGGTTCAGTGGTTTCAGTCATGTCTGACTCTGTGATCTCATGCAAAGACACTGGGGTGGTTTACCATTTCCTTCTTCAGCCCATTTTACAGATGAAGAAACTGAGGCAAACAGAGTGAAGCAACTTGTCCAGGGTGACACAGCTAGTAAGTGTCTGAGGCCATATCTGAACTCAGGTCTTCCTGACTCTAGGCCTACAGCGCTATCCCCTGTGCCACCTAGCTGCCCACCTGGCACATAGTAGGTACTTAATAAATGCTTGTAGATTGATTGGCATTTATTTGGTGCTAGGCACAGTGCTGAGACCTGGGGATGCCCTCACATCCTAACGGAGAGGGCATGAGAATAACCAGGTACGGCCAAGACCCAGACCCAGACTAGAGGGAGGGCAATTTCAGAAGGGAAGCCCTAGCAGCTGAGGGGACTGGGAAAGGCCTCCTACAGAAGGTGGCAGCCTAAGTCGAGTGTGAAGGAGACGAGAAATGCTGATAGGCTGAAGTAAAGATGGAGATCGTTCCAGGGACAGCCAATGAGTTGGGAGATGATAGCTAGCTGCCCCAGTGGATAGAGTGCTGGGCCTGGAGTCAGGAAAACCTGGGTTCAAATCCAGCCTTGGATATTTCCTAGGAAGTTACTTAACCACTGTCTGTCTCAGTTTTCTCCACTGTAAAATGGGGATAATAGATCTAATACTTGTGCTTAGCTCAGTGCCTAGCACACACTAGGTGTTCTAGAAATGTTAGCTATAATTATTATTTCTCAGCTGCCCAGGGACCTCCTGGCTCTGCTCTCCCTGATCCCTCCCCTCCCCCCAGAGCCCACTCAAGTCAGGATTCCTCTTACTAATAGGAGGTGACAAAGTATTTCTTGACTTTGGGGTCTGGAAACTCTTTGCCATGGGCTCCAGGCGTGTCTTCCACTTTCCAGTTATCTCCTCCGTTCTGGTCAATTGTCCAAAATTCCAAGCCCTCTAGAAAAAGAATAAGCATAGTCTTGAGTTCCATGAGGTAGGTGGGTGGGTGCAGGGCAGGATGTGGGGTAGGATGTGAGGCAGTTGGAGGAAGTGGGGTGTTTAGAGAAGAGAACACTTAGGTGGGGTTATGATAGCTGTGTTCAAGGTGGTATAGCACTCAGACACTTAAAACCCGTGTGACCTTGGGCAAGTCACTTAACCTCTATCTAGGAGGCAACTAGGTGGCTCAGTAGATAGAGGGCTGGGCCTGGAGTCAGGAAGGTCAAATCTGGTCTCAGATACTCACTAGCTGTGTGATGCTGGGCTAGTCACTTAGCCTCTGTTTTCCTTAATCCACCAGAGAAGGAAATGGCAAACCACTCCAGTATCTTTGTCAAGAAAACCCCACAGACAGTGTAGTCCACAGGGTCATGGAAGAGCTGGACAGGGCTGAACAACAACATAGCACTCTGCCAGCGGTACAGCAATTAACTGAATGTCCATAAGAGCAGCTGTTCTGCTGAGGTCAAGATCTGACATGCTTTGGGGTTCCTGTGTTTGTGGAAGAGGCAAGTTTTTTTTTTCCCCCAAGCCTCATACTTGTCATCCTATGCATGCTGAATGTGTGATTTCTGTGATTTCTTCAGTATAGGTAACTCTCAAATGAGTAACTCCCTCTCCTTAGGAAAGCAGGGACTTTCTCTGTGATTTGTGGCTTTCGTTGCCAGGAGCACTGAGAGGTTGTAATTTGTCCAGGGTCACACAGCCAGTATGCATCAGAGATAGGACTTGAACCCAATTCTGGCCCATTCCCCTTGTTATACCATGCTGCCTCCAAAGGAATGTGAGTCAGGAGAGAAGACTGAATATCTGGGTCTTTAGTAGAAAGGAGTCACTCTGGATTAAAAGGTGAGCAAGGACACTTTCTTACCGAGTTGGGGTAGGACAGCACTCAGCACAGGGACCCTGTTGTACACCCCCCTGATGGAATCCTAACAAAGCTGCCCCCAGCCCCAACATTCTAATTTCCTTATGGGGCCCACTGAACACCAGGTAAGTCCTGATTTAATCACACAATCTGGCTTTGACCACACCGCTGGCCCCCACACTCAGTACAACCACTGCCTCTAGCTAGCCATTGCCCCCAGATCCAAGTCACATATGGGAACAGGTATGTCCTTGTACTCAACCACAATCACATTTAGCCAAAGACAGGACCACAATACCCAGCTATCCATCTTGACCAGACAGGATCGCAATAGCTAGCCAATCAGAAAGCAGCATGACCAGGATGTTTGGGCACCAAACCATAGAAGGGACCCTTTCTTATTACCTAATCCCTTGACAAATCCCTCCTGCCTTTTTAACATTTATAATTTCTGTTATGTAATTGCATCTTTACCCTACAGAAGTCTGTCTAGCTTCCTCTGAAGCTGCTGGTTCTTCTTGGAACCTAGCCCACTTCTGAGGGGAGTCAATCCTCAATACATGCCTGTGCTTGGATTAGAGGTGTTCTGACTCTGACTTCTTTGAGACGGTGCTGCCATGACACACCGTGAAACCTCAACACCACCATCCTCAACCCCTAGGATGAGAGCAAGGAACGTTACACTCTTGTTTTTGTATTCTCACTGTCTGGCCCACAGCAGGTGCTTAATAAATCCTTGTTGATTGATAGGTGCTTAATAAATGTTTTTTGAATTGAATTGGGACTTAGTACATGAGGTTTTGGGTCCTTGGTCTACCATTAATCACTTAGTCTGATACCTTCATTTTACAGATGAGGAAATTGAGAGATGAGGAAACTGAGGCCCAGAAAATTCAAGTGACTTAAGATCATAGGATCCTGGATTTAAGGTTGAAAGGGAAATGTGAGGTCATCTGATCCAACCCACTTCATGTTATAGATGAGGACACTGAAGTCCAGAGAGGACCTCAAATGGTAACTGAAGTGCTACTTACTATTACCTGTATGACCTGCTCAAAGTCCCTCAATGTAGTAAAAGAAAGAACAGAAATTCAGACTCAGGCGTTCTGATTCCAAATGCAGTGTTATTACCACTGTGCCACCCTAGCTCCAAGGGAAGTGACTTGCTCAAGATGACATGGGTGGAAACTGTCAGAGCTGGGATTTAAAATGGGACTTCTGACTCCAGAGGCACTGGGCTACCCAGCCCATGTATAGTCTACATGCCTATGCTATGAGACAGCTTTGATGAGGGGAAGGTGGGGACCCACCTCGGGCACAGGGGACGCACCTTGGGCACAGGGGTTTCGGATCAGGTTCCTCTGGAGGCTGCAGAGGAAGTAGAAAACCTTCCAGTCAGTTACTGGTTGGTCCCAGTCCTGGGAGATGAAGCCCTCTCTCTGGCACTTGCGTTTCCACAGGGACACCAGGTCGATGAGGTCCCTCCACAGGCTGCAGACTGGCCGGCAGTGCCTCAGCAGCTCCCGAGCTGGCACGAGGGAGAACAGCTCCAGGAGGACGTTCTCGGGCATCTCATTGATGGAGGCCATGGCCCTGGTGCCAGGGCCAGGGATGGGCAATCATCCACTGTCGGCACAAGCCTAGGAGGAGGCAGTGTCTAAAACAGGGGAGGGAAGAGGGCAGTTAGGAGGATGTCTGACAACATGGTGAGGGACAAGGACAGTTTGGGGCTCTACAAAGAACTTAAAAAGCACTTTTATACATGCTGCATCATTTGATTTTTTCTGAACAGTTTTTCAACTCAACTAAACTATGAGAAGCAATTGGCGAAACAGGAAGATCTCTGGACTGGGTCAGTCTTACAGAACAGGTCACCTATTTCTGCAAGGTCTGAGCTCGTCACTCCCCAACTCAATACACTCCAATGGCTCCCTATTGCTTACAGGGGACTGTTTGGCATTCAAGGCCTTTCGCATGTCCTTATATGTAACTGGAAGAAATAAAACACTATTTAAAAGGAAAACCTCCAACAAAGCCTTTCTAATCTGGCTCCTTCTTATCTTTCCAGTCTTCTCACACTTCACTCCCCTCTGGGATCCCTTACTTGTTAATACTCAACAACAATGCTCCATTTCCAGACTCAGTGCCCTTGCACTGGCTGTCCGGAAGGCCCTTCCTCCTGGTCTCCATTTATGACTTCTCAGGCCTCTTTTAAGATTGTTTGAATTCCACCTTCTAGAAGAAGTTTCTTGTAGAAATTCTGAAAAAATGTCCTAATACCACTTCCTTCCACCCCAATCTCCCCCCTCCCCCATACCTTCCCTACTGATATTACTTTCAATTTACAATAGATATATCTTGTTTGCCTGTTGTCTCCACTATTAGCAGGGGAACTCCTGATAGTAGGAACTACGTCTGTCTTAGTGCTTAGCACAGTGCCTAGCACATAGTAAGCAGTTAGTGACAGGAAGCTAGTTAGCACGGGGTGGGGACAGGGGTGGGGGGAATAAAAGAGCACTGGACTTGGAGTCAGGAAGATCTGAGTTCAAATCCAGCCTCAGATATGTGCTAGCTGTGTAACACCAAGCAAGTCACTTAATCTCTTTCTGGTTCAATTTGCTCACCTGTAAAATGAAAGAGAATAAGCATATATTGTGTGCCTCACACTGTGCTAAGCACTTTTTACAAATATCATGTTGGTTTGATCCTCACAACAACCCTATAACAGCACAGCATCTACCTCCCAGAGTTATGAGGATCAAAACGAGATAATATTTGTAAAAAGTGCTTAGCACAGTGGCTGGCATACAGTAGACCCTTAATAAATGCCTGTTCATTTCCATTTTACAGTTGAGGACACTGAGCTTAAGTGACTTGCTCAGGATCACCCAGCTGGTAAGTATCTGAGGCTGAATTTGACTCCTCTTCCTGACTCCAAGGGCAGCTAGGTGATTGCTGGGCTTGGAGTCAGGAAGACTCATCTTCTAAGTTCAAATCTGGCTTCAGACACTAGCTGTGTGACCCTGGGCAACTCACTTAACCCTGTTTGCCTCAGTTTCCTCATCTGTAAAATAAGCTGGAGAAGGAAATGGTAATCCATTCTAGGATCTTCGCCAAGAAAACCCCAAACAGAGTCACAAAGAATCTGACTGTGGACATGACTTAATGACAGCTTCCTGACTCCAGGCACAATGCTCTAACCACTTCACCACCAAGTGCTTCTGAAAGTGGGAATATTAATAGTACTAGCTTCACAACAGGGTTATTGCTGAGATTAAATAAGATTGATTACAAAGTACTTTGCAAACCTTTAAGTGTTATAGAAGATGTCATCATCATCATCATCACCACCATCACCACTGGGTGAATCAATGGCTAAATCATTAACTTACAAGCGAGGCCCTTCCCGGATCTGGTCCTCACTTTCCTCATCTGTTAATGAGGACAGATAGATGCTCTCTAAGGCCCCTCTTGGCTCCCAGCATCACTCTTCTAAACTGCCTCCCAGCTCTGATATTCTGTGTTCTAAGGTTATTTCAGGCCTTGACATTCTCTGTTCTAAAGCCCTTTCCTGTTCTAACATGTTATTTGGCACTTCTAACAATTAAAAGTAACGCAAGTCACTTCTCACTTGCTGGGTGATGGAGGGCAGGCGGCTTTTCAAAAGGGTTCCCCTCTCGTTTCTCTACTTCTTGAGTTCTGGCTCGTACTAAAATCGTCTCCCTTTCCAGTGCCCACGAATAAATAGGAGGGCTCTCATCACAAGCCGCACACGAGCTAGAGCAAAGAGAGACCCACGAGAGCCAGACCGGTTACTGTTCCACTGGGCCGTGGTCACTAAGGGGAGGCAATTTCCCTTTCCCTTTCTAACTGGTCAGTTCCGGCTCTCTGACCACTCCCTATGGACACAGGCTGAGTAGAGGCTGACCGAGCCAGAAGCAAAGAGCTGAGGAACGCAGCGGCCGCGGTGGGGGAGGGGAGATACTAAGTCTTCTCCTACCCCGCTTCCTTCCCAGCCCCCTTTAGACTCCCCCTGGGCCGGATGCTGGGGATCCCTGGGTTCGGCTCACTCTGGATGAAGGGTGACGCCCGAGTTACAAGGCCCTTCACCCCTGCCTCCAGCAGCTATAGTGCGCAGAGACTAGGTCTGGCCAGGACTGGCAAAGCTAAACGCGGCCAGGCTGATAGACTGGCGGTTACTGCTTGGGTCCTGGCTCCGTGCTACATTTCCCCTTTCCCCAGGAATGGCTGCAAAGCAACTGACTAGAGGCGTGCCAAGGAGACCGCGAGCTGAGTCCAGACGCTGCGCATCCGTTCCAAAGGGGCCCCCTCGACTCCCGGCTTACAGCTGGGGAGGGGACCCAGGCGTCCCGGCCCCCCTCCCGGCTCCTCCTCCGCCTCTTCTTCCCTGGCAGACCTGATCCCAGCCTCTTCCCCTGCCATGCTACGACTAGGCAGAAACCTGGGGGCTCGGGGCTAGGCTGGGCTGGACAGGGCTGGCAGACCGCTCTCTTGGATCCGTCAGCGACTCCGGCTTCGGCAGCTTCCGTAAACACTCAGCCCGAGCTTCCTGGCCCTCCCCCTCAGCAACTGTCCGTTACTGGGCCGTCGCTATGGATCTGGGAAATGAAGTTTTCAAACCTCTCTCGACTAAGAGATCTGGGTTGGAACCCCGCCTCCATCCTAGCTTGAGTGGTTATGAAGAAGTTGCTTCCTTTCTGATGCTAATAATCATAGGATCATAGAAATATAGGTGGATGGGACCTCAGAGGTCCGGTTTTTTAGTCCGGTCCCCTATATTTTACACATAACACTCTGGTACAGTAGTAAGCTGTTTTTAAGCCTGGGGGAAATATAATGGTCCCTGGGTTCCAGACGTTTCTCTCGTATTCTGCTTCAAGGAGTTTTAGAACACGAGAGTATGAGTTCAGGCGTAATTGTTCTGAGCTCCCAGTTAGGAAAATTCCTAGAATTTAGGAGGAATTTGGGCTCTCTGCCTAACTAAACAATTCTATTTATCCTTATAGTGTCTCTGTGACTGAAGTAAAATTCAGTTTACAAAAAATGTATAAGTAATAAAACGGCAGATTATATTATGTCTGCGGATAGACAGCCACTGGGAGGGGAAATTGGGGAAAGAGCTCACTGACCTGTTCTTGGGACTTCCCTCAGACTCATTCTTCTGCTGCAGAGATGTCGGAAGAGGCAGATGACTGTCCTTAATATCTCCCTCCTTTGCCACAGCCGAGTCCTTTTTTTGCTCCTCAGATGTTGGCTAGAATTTCAGACTTGCTCCAACCTCTTTTCCAGGACCTCAGAATCTCTCTAGTTCTGAGATAATTCCGTTCTTTTATGTGTATTCCTTTTTTACTAAAGCCTTCCTTTTATACCAGTTCTAAGTGTTTCACAAAATAGCTTTAACTTAAGTAACGGAGGTGTTAAAATTCTGCACTGATTGATTAGATTCAATTACCTAACAAAGGTAATTAATTACATTTAAGTGGGTGGGATAATTGGGCAAAGTAGATAGAGAGCTCCAGGCCTGGAGTCAGGAAGATCTGAGTTCAAACGTGACTTCAGACACTAGCTATGTGAACCCAAGAAAGTCACTTAACCCTACTTGCCTCAGTTTCCTTGTCTGCAAAATGAACTAGAGAAGGAAATGGAGAACCACTCCATTTGCCAAGAAAACCTCAAATGGGGTCACAAAGAGTCTGACACAAGTGAACAACAAATACACAGAGAAGATCCCATGAGGACACACACAGTCAAGGGCATTAAGGGATCTAGTCCCAAGATATTTGAAAAGGAGAAGATAACAAATGCTGATGGGAAATCATGCTATTATTATTTAAAAAAAATTGTTGGCTCATATTCCCATTTTCTCATTTCTTCAAATATTTCTGAGAGTAATCTATATACTCACTGACGGCATCCTTGATGAAGGTTTGAGAAGAGAATAATTAGACTTTTGCAAATGATACTCAACAGCTAACTACATCTTTAAGATTTCCCAGTTGAATGAAATGTGCTGAGAAGACCGGGATTCCCTGATGGTTTTCTATTATTAGTGTGGCCAAAAGCCAAATTTCAAGGTTACTAGAGGAAATTTGGGAGAAGGGAGAATGCTAAATGAGTCAAATTCTGATGTTTCCTAGAAAGTCTGAGATGAAGTCATGAGAGTGACAAGTCCTTCTAGTTCAGACCTTTTTTTCTGGGTTACAGGTTACATTATCAAGAGAGGCATAATGAACTAGGGAGACAGATGTATTTGGCCCTGTCCTGGAGGATGTCCAGCATAGAAGTCCTCAGACACTTACTAGTGTGACTCCAGGTAAGTCACTTAACCTCTCTGGCCTGTTTCCTCAACTGTAAAATGGGGATAATAATAGTACCTACCTCTTAGGGTTGTTGTGAGGATCAAATAAGTTAATGCTTGTAAAGTGCTTTGCAAACCTTAAATTTTTTTCATTGTTGTTCAGGTGTCTCCAACTCTTTATGACATCATTTGGGGTTTTCTTGGCAAAGATACTGGAGGGGTTTGCCATTTCCTTCTCCAGCTTATTTTGCAGGTGAGGAAATTGAGGTAACCAGGGTCAAGTAACTTGCCCAGGGTCACACAGCTAGTGCCTGAGGCCAGATTTGAACTCGGGTCTTCATGATTCCAGACCCTGCTCTCAATCCACTGCCCTACCTCGATTCCCCCTAGCTACCCCCTATATAAATGCTAGCTTGTTTCTTTTTTTTTTCCTTTACTGGAAGAGAACTTTAAAAAATTTTTTTATTAATTTATTTTGATTTATCAACAATCACTTCCATATGCCTTTGAGTTCAAAATTTTTCTCCTCTTCCTCCCTCCCCCTCCCCAAGATGGCACACAATCTGATATAGGCTATATGTTTACATTCCTATTAAACATATTTTCACATTAGTGAAGTTGGAAGTAAAAATTAAAACCAATAGGAGGAACCATCAGAAAGATGAAACAAAACTCAACAGAAGGTAAAAATGATAGCGATTCACTTCCATAGTTCTTTCTTTGGATGTGGACAGCATTTTCCATCCGAGGCCTCTGGAGATGTCTTAGATCCTTGTAATGCTGAGAAGGGTTCAGTTTAACAATATTAGTCATCATAACAGTGGCTGTTATTGTGTACAAAGTCTCTTGGTTCTGCTCACTTCACTCAGCATCAGACCATATAAGTCTTTCCAGGTTTTTCTGAAGTCAGCCTGTTCATCATTTCTTATAGCAATAGTATTCCATTACATTCATATACCACAACTTGCTCAGCCATTCCCCAATTGATGGGCATCCTCTCAATTTCCAATTCTTTGCCACCACAAAAAGAGCTGCTATGAATATTTTTGTACATGTGGGTCCTTTTCCCATTTGTTTGATCTCTTTGGGATATAGCCCTAGAAGTGCTATTGCTGGATCAAAGGGTATGCACATTTTTTAGCCCTTTGGGCATAGTTCCAAATTGTTCTCCAAAATGGTTGGATCATTTCACAACTCCACCAACAATGTATTAGTGTTCCAATTTTCCCACATCTTCTCCAACATTTATCATTTTCCTGTTTTGTCATGTTGGCCAATCTGATAGGTGTGATGTGTACCTCAGAGTTGTTTTGATTTGCATTTCTCTAATCAATAACGATTTAGAGCATTTTTTCATATGACTATAGATGGCTTTAATTTCTTCATCTGAGAACTGTCTGTTCATATCCTTTGACCATTTATCAATTGGGGAATGGCTTGTGTTCTTATAAATTTGTCTTAATTCTCTATATATTTTAGAAATGAGGCCTTTATCAGAGAGACTGGTTGTAAAAATTCTTTCCCAATTTTCTACCTTCCTTCTAATCTTAGTTGCATTGGCTTTGTTTGTGCAAAAACTTTTCAATTTAATGTAATCAAAATTATCCATTTTGCTTTTCATAATGTTCTCTATCTCCTGTTTGGTCATGAATTCTTCTGTTCTCCATAGATCTGATAGGTAAACTATTCCTTGTTCTCCCAGTTTACTTATATCAGCCTTTATATCTAAGTCATGAACCCATTTTGACTTTATTTTGGTATATGGTGTGAGATTTGGGTCTATGCCTAGTTTCTGCCATACTCTTTTCCAGTTTTCCCAGCAGTTTTTTTCAAAGAGTGGGTTCTTATCCCAGAAGCTGGGGTCTTTGGGTTTATCAAATAATAGATTACTATAGTCATTGACTACTGTGTCTTGCATATTTAACCTATTCCACTGATCCACCTCCCTATTTCTTAGCCAGTACCAAGCAGTTTTGATGATTGCTGCTTTATAATACAATTTAAGATCTGGAATTGCTAGGCCACCTTCCCCTGCATTTCTTTTCATTAGTTCCTTTGATATTCTGGACCTTTTGTTTTCCAAATGAATCTTGTTATTATTTTTTCTAACTCTATAAAATAATTTTTGGTAGTTTGATTGGTATGGCACTGAATAAGTAAATTAGCTTAGGTAGGATTGTCATTTTTATTATATTAGCTCGGCCTACCCATGAGCAACTGATGTTTTTCCAATTATTTAGATCTGATTTTATTTGTGTGAAAAGTGTTTTGTAATTGTGTTCATAGAGTTCCTGGGTTTGTTTCGGAGGTAGACTCCTAAATATTTTATAATGTCTACAGTAAGTTTAAATGGGATTTCTCTTTCTATCTCTTGCTGTTGGGCTTTGTTGGTAATATATAGAAATGCTGATGATTTATGTGGGTTTATTTTATAGCCTGCAATTTTGCTAATGTTGTGTATTATTTCAAGTAGTTTTTTACTTGATTCTCTAGTATTCTCTAAGTGTTTCATCATGTCATCTGCAAAGAGTGATAGCTTTGTTTCTTCTTTGCCTATTCTAATGCCTTCAATTTCTTTTTCTTCTCTTATTGCTAAAGCTAAGTTTCCAGTACAATATTGAATAACAGTGGTGATAATGGACATCCTTGTTTCACCCCGATCTTATTGGAAATGCTTCTAGCCTGTCCCCATTACATATAATGCTTGCTGAAGGTTTTAGATAGATGCTATTTATTATTTTAAGGAAGACTCTATTTATACCTATGCTTTCTAGTGTTTTTAATGGGAATGGGTGTTGTATTTGTCAAAAGGTTTTTCTGTATCTATTGAGATGATCTTGTGTTTTCTGTTGGTTTTGGTGTTGATATGCTCAATGATGCTGATAGTTTTCCTAATATTGAACCAACCCTGCATTCCTGGTATAAATCCTACCTGGTCATAGTGTATTATTCTTGTGATAAGTTGCTGCAATCTATTGCTAGTATTTTGTTTAAAATTTTTGCATCTATATTCATTAGAGAAATTGGTCTATAATTTTCTTTCTCTATTTTGACTCTTCCTGGTTTAGGTATCAACACCATATTTGTATCATAAAAAGAATTTGGTAAGACTCCTTCTTCACCTATTTTCCCAAATAGTCTATATAGTATTGGAATTAATTGTTCTTTAAATGTTTGATAGAATTCGCATGTAAATCCATCTGGCCCTGGAGATTTTTTCCTAGGGAGTTCATCAATGGCTTGTTCAATTTCTTTTTCTG